TGCAAAACAAAGGTTAACCTGGGAATCTGTGGTTGAGAAAAGAATGAAGTTTTAAGTATATATAAGGCTAACAGCAAATGCATACACACACATGTAGTAAATGGGATCATTATTACTAACTCTACCTTTCTTTCCTGTATTAAAATATTTCACACCTTTCCCATGTGCTTTTGCAGTTTTTCCCACTAGAGGTGGAGAATATTTGCCTGCATTGGCAATACAAACTACCGTTTGTAACTTGGATTTTTAAAAAAAGAATTATTTAATTTTGTTATTATTATTATTAATTTTTGTTATAGGGAGAGACAGAGAGAGAGAAAGAAAATGAGAAAGTAAGCCACTAGATCCGGGATTCAAACTTTGGTCGGTCACGTGAGAATCCAGAGCCTTAACCACCATGCCATCTGCTGGCCCCAGTAACCAGGATTTTCAAGGCTAACACCCTAGGTATTATTTCCTTAGATGCTTGCAGGTAGCTATGTCCCTATGATCCAAACTATTTTAATTCTTCTTTCCTTCCCCAAAGATCACATTTAAACCCTTCTTAATTATTCTGGTCTTTTTCTCTAGTACTTTTATTTTTTAAATGATTTATTTAACTTTATTTATTCATTCATTTATTTTTTATTTGACCAGAGAGACACACACAGACAGACAGAGAGAGAGAAGGCGAGAAAGCAAGCCACCAGGTCCAGGACTTGAACCGTGGTCAGTCATGTGGGAGCATCCAGCGCCTTAACCACCACACCACCTGCTGGTCCCCTCTAGTACTCTCAAGACCACTTTAGTTCGTTTTTTTTTTTTTTTTTGGAGAGGTTTTTCGCTATAGGGCGCGTGCGCTCACCAGACAGACAGAGAGACATAGAGACAGAAAGCGAGAAATCACCCCCCCAGGGGTATGGTCACGCCACAATCCCTTCTCCTCCATTCTCCTCTCAGGATCTTGGGCACGTATGCACATGTGCCCGGCGTGAGTTTTAAGCCACTGGGTCCGGGATGCGAACCGCGGTTGACTACGTGGGAGTCCAGTGACATAGCCATTACGCCAAATGCTGGTTCCCAAGACCACTTTTGTAATAGTTATTTTTTGTTTCTTTGTTCATTTGCTTGTTTCTTGTTTTATGTTTTTTGGTTTTTTTTTTTCCTTTGCCACCTGTAAGAGTATAGAGAAGACACCTAAGCTCTGAGATTTGGGTCCATTTATTTATTTATTTATTTATAGAAAATGTGTATGCTTACCAGAGAGAGACAGAAAGACATAGAGAGAGGGAGAGGAGAAAGTATCCCCCATGGGGAACGGTCACAATGTAATCCTTTCTCTTTCATCTCTTCCCTCTTTTTGGGATTTTGGGCATGCATACACATGTGTCTGGTGTGTGTCTCATGGCTTCAGGTCTGGCTCTTCAACTATGTGGCCGACTCTGTGGGATTTGGCTCCCTCAACCACCAGGCTCCAGAGTTGGCCCAGGATCAGTTTTAACATCTAAAATTAAGGGGATGGGAATTTCTGACCTTTTGATTCATTTCTTCCCTAAACCTCATGGATGGAAGAAAAGGTTCTCTGGGACTAGCAGTTAGTGTAATGGTTATGTTGCTGGACTCCCATGTAGTCAACCGCTGTTCGAGTCCTGGACCCGGTGGCTTAAACTCACGCTGGGCGCATGCGCGTGCATGTCCAAGATCCTGAAAGGAGAATGGAGGAGAAGGGATTGCAGAGTGGCCATCCCCCCGGGGGGGTTATTTCTCATTTTCTGTCTCTCTGTCTCTCTCTGTCTGTCCGGCGAGCACACATGCCTTGTAGCATAAACCTCCCCCCTCAAAAAAAAAAAAGATGAAAAGGTTCTCAAATTTTTACTGTTATCAGAGCCACTGAAAAGAATATAATAATAAAATGGGTACTTAAATATTGTTTCCATAGATTTTTAGTTTAGCAGGATTGGGATAGATCATCTGTATTTTTAATAAATATCCCTAGATGGTCTAACGTATACCAAAGTTTATTTTATGAGTTCCATTGCTTTTCATCCCAAACCATTACTTTAATAGAGTAGAATGGGTTTTTAAATAACAGTGAATGGAAAGAACTTCCCAGATGACTTAAATGGGAATCTTCAATCAGAAGAGAATTGAAACAGTCAGAATGTGGCCAGACGAGAAAATGCCCTGAGGAAACTCAGAGATATACAGCTTTATACAGAGCACGTTCACATTTTCTGTGGCACTCTCAGAGATGATTATTAATTGAGAATGGAGTCGACTGGGCTCAAAAGAGGAAGCACAGTAAGTGTAAAGGAATTTATGCATGATTTTAAAAACTACAAATACTAACTTGTTTATAAAGTATGATGGCGAGAATAAAATTTCTATTTAAAAACAGGCTACCAAACCTAATAGATGAGCTGTGTATAGGTGTTTGTGTGTGTGTTTGCATACCTATGTTGGACCTATTGGGTTGTTGGAAAAGTGATCATGCATTTTTGCACAGAAAAACAACAAAAAAAACATGACTTTTCTGACAGTCCAATATATGGCATATTAAAGTACATTTCAAAATAATAAATGAATGATAGACAATTCAGCCATAACCTAGTGCTTAGAAATTGTACTATCAGAACATTTAAAATGTACTTCCTGTAGTTTATGTCCTTAGAATCATTCTTGAAAGCCTTGGAAAAGCTCAAGTATAGAACGTAAAGATTTTGAGCTGTGCAGCCTATTTTGAGACGTCTGAGGATGCTGGATGAATTCCCTTGGGGCTTGCTCACTCATTCAGGCACGTCCAAGATGCTTTACTCCAAAGGTGTCTGCCAGGGAAGGTGCCCAGGGTTCCCAACACACCAAGGAAAGAAGCCTGAGAAACACACCAAGTCTGAGCTGGTGGATCGCCAGTCCATCTGGAGACCAGCTGGATAATCGGATAGCCAGCCATGCCCACCCTCGCACCTCCTCCCTGCCTGGAAGAAAACTAAGAAATGCTGCCTTACCCCTAGTGCTTCCTTTACACCCCATACCTTTCCTTAGGATTGGTTAGTGGACTCTTTAAATTCCTTTAAAAAGCTGTTTCCTGGGATAAAAGTATCACACTCAGTGCGCCCTTTGGCCCTGAGCTTGATTTTATGCAGGAGTGCCATGTGAGTGGACTCAATGTCATGCCCTGCACCCCTCTTTCTGCGTCCTGGGCCACCAACTCCCCACTCACCTCAGTTGTTCTAGAACTGAAGGCTCATCATGGTGTGGCTTATGTAATACACACATGTGCTATGGTCCCCATGGATAATTAGGGCTGCGTTATATACCTAAACCTGTCACAGTCTCATTTTAAAAAGGATGACAACTTACCCAGTGTGCTTGTGGTGTATTTACATGAAACACTCCCAACTATGGCGTCTCCAAATACTGACCCCGGAGCTAATTAGTAGCCTGGTGTAAGTGTTTCAGTTTTTCAGCCACCAATTAAATAGTAGATCTAAGACAGCACTGACAACAAAATATAAATTTAAGAACAGAAACCAGGTTCTGTTGGCCCTGACGAGAAAGCTAAGGCCAGGTAAGAAAAGTGGGGGTGGGTAAAGGTACCAGCGGCACTGTTCCTGCGAGCAGAACAGTGAGTCTCCTTAAATTCAGACCAGACTGCGGTTTTCGGAGGAGTACCCCCTCCCACCATTAGTACAAAAAAACAAGTCGCAGAGCATCTGGGTTTGCACTGGGGGAAGCGAGACCTTCCATTTGTGGCTCACTGCTAGGCACCCGTTAGGAACATGCTTGCACCCCAGACCTCCATCCTCAGAGGCGGCTTCACACCTGCACCTGCAGTCCAGACTAGCTGAGCTCCCATCCACCTTCCCCGCCCAGCATCGGACCACCGAGGCACCGGACGGCACAGCCACGCTGCCGTCTCCAAGGGAGATTTAAAAGTGCCTGATTGTCGCCCCCATTCCCCATCCCTGAGCCAGCATCTCCACCCAGAGAAGGAATTCCCGTTTTCTCCCCATTGCCAAACGGGAAAGGTGAGGGGTGCTCTGAGGGACGATAAATTATTGCCTATTGGCGCCCCTCCCCACTCACCCACGCTTCTGCTCTCAGCTCTCCCCGTCCTGCCCCGGGCTGGCGGTCAGGTGAGGTTGGTTACCTGGGCTCCCGGAGAAGCCCCAAGGGGCGCTGCAGTTCTTCTTCTCCAAGTCGCCCCACTCCCTGTCGGCTCCCCAGGACTCTTGCCCCTCTCCCCCCGCGCGCGTCCTCTGCCCCTCGGGCTCCGACGC